TTTTTTTTTGGTTCTATCAAAGACATAGCTAATTTAACAAACCTGAAACAGGATCTACAATCTTGTTCGCCAAAGATCTCAAAATATTATGGCCGACAAGCTGTCTGGATGGACGTTCTAAACAATAAAAAAATTCGTTGTCTATCACATCCATTACCGAAATACCAGGGATAATCTTTGAAAAAACACAGCAAGTTAACTCCAAAAAAACAGAATTTTTGTGTGATCTACCAAATCAATATTTAACAGGTTCTTGAACCTTCAGATTATTTACCGGTTCCTTTAACAGCTGGATAGATTTATCAGGTACTCGTAAAACACAAATTTTCAACACGTCAGTAAGATAACTTTTGGATAGACTATCAGGCACCAGTGAAATAAACCCTTGTGTTGAAGCAATTTATGTCTTGATTTCAGAATTTTCATGTGTCCTCAGAGGTGTAGGTAGAAAGAGTCCAGGAATGAAACCTTGGAAGATGCTGTTGCAATATCCATGGATAATTTTAATGTTTCAATGATGTTGGCATGTACTCTTCTTTCACTTAATAATGGTAATCTCAACCTGGCAAGTCTCTGTTCACATGGGAGATGTTTAACGTCGATTGGTATATGTATTGCTCTTAGTGTATTTTCACGTAAATTGATATCATTTGTGAAATAAAAGAGTTCCAAATCACTGTTCCATATTCTATTATCGGAAGGATATACATGTTGTAAAGCAAAGCGAAGGAGTTGCCTCTGAAAAAAATTAAAAGCCTGAGAGTGTACTTTATTAGTTTTCTCTATAACGCATGATACATAGAGTCCCATTTTTCAGATCATCCCTGACAATGATATCAAGATTCTTCATGATCTTGTATCGCGTATTTGTAATAAGAAATCTTAGGATTATTTTTGCCCATAAGCATATAATTCACATTATTATTGTGATTCACTAATTTGTAAACTAATCTTATTAAAGATATAATGATGCATATGTTTTATATATGCAAAACGATATTTATTCTTGTACCTCTTTAAAAACATATTTTGTGACAAAAAGTTAAACTTATTCTTCAAGAACATCTATTTCATTTAAAATAATTTCTGAGAGGAATGGCTTCTATTCACCAGTTTCAAGATTATCAAGACTTGGTAACAAGTCATTATGTCTATCATTAAATTGCCCTGACACAAATTTAAAAGACTTGCAAGATCATCTTTTTTAAACAAATTGAAATAAAAACACACATGGAGGTTATAAACTTTTGTATTTTGGGGTCAAACCTGTAATTGTCTAATAAATATATAAATAAATAAAACCACAAAACAACCCTGCCATCTTGGACCAAATGTTTGGTATCCAAGCTCTGCCTGTCACAAACCAGGAAGAAGAGGGGAGTGATAGAGGAGAAACGCCTCTTTAAAAAACCTAGGTCAAGCTGGCTCCAGCTGGTAGCACCACGTCAAGGCCCCTTGCCAGGGTTACGGTGAAGACCTCAATGAGTAGATTGCATAGAAGAGGCACCCATTCTTCAGGGATATCCATGAAGATCCGTCTTCGGGGTAAGAAGAAGAAAGTCCTTAATGGCTAAATGGCGGATGAGGCAGCCCTTCTTGTGGGGTTTATACATAAGAGAGGATGCTGGGGTCCCCTACGACAGCAGCCCCTTCACTCAGCACATCCAACGTCGAGTTGGTAGCCTGACTTGGGGGAACTTTTTTTTCTCAGAAGCTCCAAAGGAACTGCCGGACAGAAATGAAGATGACCTCAGCAATAAATAAAGGAGGAACGAATAATGGAATCTCGGAAAAACTACAAAGTACAGCAGCATGGAATGTCAGAGGGATTATAAATAAAGAAATAGAATTAGAAAAACAATTGATTGAAATGGATTTAGATTTTGTAGCTTTATCGGAAACTAAAAAGAAATTAAAAGATACAATACAATTAGAAAAGTACATAATGATCTATAGTGGTGCCCAACAAGTAGTGAGAGCTCAGAAGAAGTTGCTATACTTATGAAAAATAAATATAAAAATAGAATAGTGACATACATGTTTATGAACGAAAGAATAGTAACACTACAAATTAAGGTAGAGAGAGTATACATAGCAATATAAGCTCCAGAGGAAGGAAGGGAAAATAAAACAATTAAATTTTAAGAAAAATTGCAAGTGATAATAAATCAAGTTAACAAGAATGATTATCTGATAGTTTTGGGAGATTATAATGCCAGAGTCAGAAATAATCCCATACCTAATATAATTGGAACAGAGGGCGAACGCATTTTAAATAAATATGGACATACATTAATAGAATTTGCAGTATTCAACGAATTAAGAGTAACAAATGCATTTTGCAGACACCAAAATATCCATAAATATACATAGATTGCAAGAGGAAGTGCTTCTATGATAGATTATGTACTGGCAAACAAAAAAACCCTGGGCAATAATAAACGACACAAGAGTGTTTCGGGGTCTGGATATCTCAACAGACCATTTCCTAGTCATCTCAACATTACAACTACCTAAAAGATGGAAACACCTTACTAATAAAAAAGAAAATAATATTGAAACTTTCAAAGTACACCTTCTTCAACTCCAAAGCATCTGAATGCTTTATCATACAAGATTGAATATAAAATTACAACCTACACCAACTAATAACAACATAAATTAAGAATGGAAAAATATTAAAGAGATATTGACCAACGCTGAATTCGAATTATTAGGTAAAAGAAGTATACAAGAAGGGTGCTTAAGAGTTTGGGATGAAGAAATTGAACAACTAATAGATGAAAATAAAGCAGCGTACTTAAAAACATTTGAAAAACCAAATAGTTTAGATTTAAAAAATTAATATAAAAGGAAATCTTTTATAGTGAGAAATAAAGTATGAGAAATTAAACACCAAAGCTGGAAGAGATAAATAGCATATTTTGAACACGACTTACAAGGAAGGCAAGATAATGTGTATACAATTATAAAAGAATTTAAAAAAGAAGAAAAAGACACTCTAAGAATTAATCCCATAACAGAAAAAGAATGGCTAAAGTATTTTAAAAACCTATGCAAGAATGATGAAGCTGATGCAATATTAATGGAACTCGTTGACAACGTAGACAACATTGAAATGCAAGAACTTAAAGAAGTACTCAAAGCTAATAAAAATAAAAAATCTGCTGGTACAGATGGCCTGAATGTACAACTAATAAAGTATGCAACCCTACAGTTTAAACTAAGATTAATAGCTTTGTTGGCATAAAGGATGATACGTTCCGGATCAATGGAATGAAGCATATATCTGTCCTATATATAAAAAAGGAGACAGAACGTTATGTAGGAAGTATAGAGGAATAAGCCTATAAAACTCTTGCTTTAAAATCTATACTAATATAATAGGAAGAAGACTAAAACCAGGCATGAAAAACAAAATCTCAGAAGCTGAACATGGATTTAGAAGAGGAAGATCTTGCAGTGACTCTATATTTACAATTACTCAAATAACAGAGAAAAGACGAGAACAAAATTTACCAACATTCTACCTCTTCATAGACTATGAGAAGGCTTTTGATAAAGTTAGGACACTACTATGGGAATCATTCAAAAAGAAAGGAGTACCAAAATATTTAATAAGAGATCCTATATAGAGGAAATGTAATAAAAATTGGACAACAAAAAACGGAAAAAAATATGCAATCATTAACCAAGGTGTAAGTCAAGGGTGCCCATTGTCACCTACCTTATTTAACACATATATATTGAGGAAGTCATAAATGTGTGGCTAAAAATTTTAAACAGACAATTTATAGTAAATATTACCACAGTACTGTTTGCAAATGATCAAGTCATTGTAGGCTTCACAGAAGACAGTAACCAAGAAGCAATATATAAATTAGATAATATAACTAAGCAATATAATATGATTATATCAATAGACAAAACTAAAATCATGGCATTTAGGGGTTGTGAGCCATTAAGAGCAAAAATAGCCATAGGAAAAAATATAATGGAACAAGTAAATGCATTTAATTATTTTGGCTATAAAATAACATATTATAAAATAAATGATTTACAAGTAAAATGAAACAGATATAGACACTTCTGTGGCACAATAGCTCCAACTCTGACAAATAAAGTCAGAAAAGAAACTAAAATGAAACTACAAAACAATGGCTCTACCCATGATGTTATACGGAAGTGAATGTTGGACATTAACTTAAGACCAAAGTAAAAGATTAGAATCGGCTAAAATGAAGTTTCTTTGAACCATAACAGATTATACACTTCTTGATCAGAAGAAAAACGAAGAAATTCGAAACGAATTAAAATTTTGAAGTGTGAATGACATAATTAAAGGATATAGAGAAAAATGGAAAAATCATATATTAAGAATGCCCGAAGGAAGGGTAGTGAAAGTTGCCTTCAACTACAAGCCGAAAGGGAGAAGAAATGTGGGAGGACCACTAAGAAGATGGAGTGAGCAGTTTTAAGGAGCCAGAACAGACTAAACAAGTCTAATACTTGCAGTTGATGATGATGAATAAATAAACAAACATTTGGAACAGATAACACTCACAGTACAGAAATGAACACTTTCCAAGATGTAGGTTAAGAGTTTCATGGATGAAGAAATTCCATGCAAGAAAAAAATAATTCTTGATGCGCAAACACAAGTCACCTGGCAGTTAACATAGCAAAATTTGAGATCAGCACTTTATCGTAAAAGAAATGTATAAGGATTTTGGGCAAGCGATGGAAAAAGGCAAAAGATAATAAAAACTAGCTTTTAAAGTCCTGTGTTGCTAAAGCATGCCAACGCCAGATGCCACTGCAGCTCTAAAACTAAAATTGATTCAGCTAAGATGACCCGCCCTAGATCATCCATCTTACAGGCCAACCCTAGCTCCATGCAAATACTGCCTTATCCAGTCCCCATTAGATGTACTTTTCACAAGAGTGTTACAGCAAAAAGCTGTTACCTTTATATCTAAATTCAATGTGCAAATACACACCTGTGAGCTGCAATGATATGTAAAGGGGTATCCCTCTTAATATCCATTGAATTAACATCTGCTCCACACTTAATAAGAAGATGTGTAACTGCAGCACATGGGAAGCTTTAAAAAAAAATCATAAATATAATTCTCAAAAGATTTATATTTAAATTAGTATAATACGATTTTCTTACATGAACGCTCGTTCGATGCCTTTTTCATCAAAAGATGTGTTCTCACTGACACACAAATGTAATAGTGTCAAGCCATTTTGCAGTCGAATTTCTGACTTGTTCAATTGATAAACGAGTCTGTGAATACTTAGCTTCTCATTAGGTGTAGTACAGCTCAACAATTTTGTAATAGTAACTAATATATTCAACGCAGCAATAATATTACTTTGAAATTCCTCCTAGAAAGATTTCATTACAAAGAAAAGTTTTCACTTAATTACACAGGGAATTAATAATTTCATAAATAAAAGAAAAACATACTAGGTAGCATTCAGCATGAAGTCTTAAGCTTGTGGTAGCCAAAGTTTCCTTGTTTCTTTCCAGTTCTAAAGCACATGCAGCAAAAACATCGCTAACAAGTGAAAATTTCAAATCCATATTTTTACTTAGCATTTTGTGGAACATCTAGGCAAACAAACAAATTTCATTCAAAAAATATTCTTTTATCCAATATTCAAAAAAATATTCACATTGAAGCAAACCTCGGCAAAGCGTATAAGGTCATTTGAGACAGACACTTTGTTTTGTTGGCGTATGCGTAAGGCATGGAGCCAAAGCTCTGCAGTTCTGTCATATCTTCCCTCTTCTGCAAACACCGACCCGCGGAATTCCACGGCGTCGGCCACCTCTGGGTGGCGCTGCCCCAGGATGCGCTCTCTGACGGCCAGCGACTCCATGTGCAAAGCAGTTGTATCGTGTCGGATGCGCTCCAGATCCTCCAGGCTCTGGCACTCCACCCAGTTCCCGTAGGCAGCGAGGGGCTGACCAATGACCTTGGGTAACGGGGCTTCTGGATCGTTGAATCTGAGCCAACAAAATTGCCCCTGATGAGATCACACATGCAGACAATCTACCTGCCTACCTCACACAGATACAAAATTAGTTACCTGGCATCTCAGTAGTCTATAAAAGTAGTACACTGGCCCACATTTCCATTTAATTATTTTACCTCCAGTCTTGCCCACGTTTGCCTAATATTCTCCCAGAAATCCTCAATTTTACAAGCTCTTAAACAATTATTATCACGTTTTTATTCATTTTCATGAAAATATTCACAATTTCAACCATTTCTTCATAAATTATGATTATGTTAACTTGCTGAAGTTTTATAAAATAACAATACTTTCTTTCTTTTTTTAAAATTTTTATTTCATTGTGTTTGGCAGTTTACCTTTCATGGGTTTTCATAATTACAATTAAAATTGACATTAAGAGTCACCTTTACTTAATAGTCCTAAAGGTAGGGATAAAACATTAATAAAAGGAATTCAAATTTTGGACTCTATTAAAAATCAAAAATTATATGATGAAGTAAATTAAGTAAGTTAACCAGTAAGGTAATGATGAAGGAAATATATTTTAGTTTGATATTAATATTTTAATTTAATATATAGATTAATTTTATGGAGGTGTAAATCAATCTTTTGGAAATCTGCATATCATTCTGCATGAAAAATTGAAAGAATGGCCTAAGTTAAATGATTTTTCAGGAAATAATTTAGAGTTGAATTTTTTTTAAAATTTGTATTATAATTATCTTCAATAAACAAAAAACAAATAAATAAATTTAAAAATCACATGGTACAAAGCACTAACAGTAAACTTCTTCAAGCTGCTTCTATGTGTTGTTATATCTAAAAAATAGTGCATGTTGTTATATGAATAAGATGAATTATTATTTGTATATACTGTTACCCAACCTATTTTTTACCTATGCACTATTTCTAGAACTTGAGCTACATTCCTTTCTATTGTGTACAGAAATAAATGCAATTTTTTTTTACAGACTTTCACATATCTAGTTTTTATTGATTACATGTTTCATATACCATAATGTTCTTCAATAATTATTTGATATTTTGTTGTGATAATAAAAATTATTACTTTACTACAGTGAAATAAAATATATTCAATAACATTGAGCAGAATAATGTTCAACAAACACAAAGCTATTTAAAAACGTAAATTGAGTATCTGAGTGAAGAAGATAACTTCGTTAACAAACAACCTCCTAGTTCTAATCAAATGTTTTCATTTGTATTACATTCAAAAGTTGAGAATCTCCCTTCTTATTAATGCAAATTTGTCACAAAAGCTGATTTTGTTTTAATTTTACCAAATATTTAATAATGCATAAATGCAAATCCATCTTTCATTATAAATATGATGCTGATCATAAATATCTACCTTTCTCATCAGAACTATTCCTATGCCTTCCACATGAACACAAATTTGAAATAATGACCTTTTTTATTATTTGAAATTATGCCACCCCTTTAGATACTGCCTTGTGTAGCACTATTTGCACAAGCGGGGAGGCTTGCATGCTCCATTAAATCAGGGGCAATGTTGGCGGTAGCATAACTATGATAGGGTCTCCCTAGTTGGATTGGCACTGGTGGAGGAGTCAGACGAATGCATCCCTCAACGACCTAGTAGGCTATTCTGTCATTTTCCCATTCCTTTACTTATCCCACCTGCTCCTTAATTTATCCCTCCATTCTCTTGGGGTATATGTGGGCACGACACTGTAGGTGGGAGGGAAGCCAGTCTGTCTAGGGGAAGGTTACCCCAAAGAAGAAATCTCCGGTCCTCCAGGTTGGAGGTAAGGGCATTAGGCCAGCACCCCTACTCGTTAAAAAATGCTGGATTGCTAAACGCCCCAGAAAAAATATAACCAGAATGTTCAGAACATGACAAACGAAAACAGTTCATGAATATAGGAACATGTAAGTATGGGGTCTTAACGTGAAAAGAGTAGAAGTATTTGAAAAACTAAGTAAATAGGATGTAGAAACTGCTATCTTGTCAGGAACAGTAAAGAAAAGGGAAAAGATAACAAATGAGAAAAAAGAAAAGAAAACACACTAACACTAATGAAACTACGTCTCTTTGAGGTGGAATCCCAACTTCCTATATGATTTTGGTCATAGTGGTGAGGGACACGTAATATAAATTATTGTAACTGATATCCTTGAATACTATAGTTTTTAATTATATGTTTGAATGAATACAAGCACACATATTGTTGCACATATTGCAACAAAACCATATCCCAGGTTATTGTAACTTATGTGATGTGCCAAGCAATGTATCACCCTAGTTGTGGATACACGATAAATAGGAAACTTGACGCCGATGTATTTTATTGCTGCTCATCTAACAGAGAGATGGCTACAAATCTAGAGCTGGAGAAAATCCTTAAGAGAAGAGATAGAAAAAACTACTATGGAGTTGGGTGATATACTCGTTAATCTTGAAGATAAACTCACAAGTAACCAAAAGAAGGATTTGACAAATCTATTTTAAGTATTCTATTATTTATTTATTTTATATTTATCCATTTTCTGTCTATCTATCCATTTATTTACCTATTTATCCATTTATCTATCTACCTATCTATTGATTTAATTACTTAAAAACACTTAACACTGTAGGTGACGTATAGGGGTGAATAATATATAATTTAATATATAATGATAATATGTGCATGTTTTCTTGAGTTACAGAATCCCTTCCCAAAAAATAAATGACAATAAATTTTTTTAAAAGTGTGGATTAGCGAGATTTGAAAAACTACATAGTTTTGAACCCAAGTTATAGTAAATTTATTTGCAACAGAAAACAAACTGCAGATTTTATTCTCTGCATTGCTAACAAAATAGTAACTCGCCCTTACCTCTACTACTACTACTATTACAAGCGAAGGCAGAGTACAACAAAACATGCTCTAAGTGAACCTACATTTATGTCCACAAGCAAAATAAGGAGCCTTCTGAGCACTTGCTCAATGGATCAGGGAAACTGGACAAAAACCTGACCGAGATGGGGGTATTGGCCTAGAAATTATACTACAATACTTGTTAAAGATAGATAAGGATATTATAGAGTAGATAATTATTCTTAGTAGCAGGCAATTTAACATTTCAAGATGTTATTTTAATGCTACTACTTATATTAATAATAATAATAATAATAATAATATAAAAATAATAATAAAAATAATAATAAAAACATTAATAATAAAAATAATATTAGAACAATACATATCAGTTCTGTTAGCAACTACATAAAATTTAACAATAGTAGTACATT